AAACTGCCACAAAAGAAAAAGCCATTTCTGTGTATGTTTGGCTTTTGCAAGGATAGTTTTCTTATGGTCAAATTTCTTGGGGGAAAATAATTGAAGTGTACAGATTTACAGAGGTAAATTTCCCCTTGAGCAATATTGTGAATAGAGAGGGTTACAAAACTGCCCGAGGGGGTTGCTCCCAGGAGTGGTATGTTTGGCTTTTGCAAGGATAGTTTTCTTATGGTCAAATTTCTTGGGGGAAAATAATTGAAGTGTACAGATTTACAGAGGTAAATTTCCCCTTGAGCAATATTGTGAATAGAGAGGGTTACAAAGCTATTTTAATCCTAAAACAACATGTGTCTCAATTGTTTCTGTCCTTTTACCAAAAGCTGACTAATTTTTTATTGCCCAATACAGCTAAAAGTACAGATGTAAAATCCTATTTAATCAGTTAACTGTTTAAATGTTATGTTTAACTGTTTAATCTATAACCGGTGCACATCACCCAGTAACAGTGAATCTTACTGGTTAACCATTCACATCCCTATCTAAAAGCAGAAATATACTCCTTGCACTCCTTTCCCCAACATAACTTTTGAGGCATGTCTACACAGCAGGGCTAAAGCCGAAATAAGCTACACAACTTCAGTTACGTCAATTGTGTAGCTTAAGTCAAAATAGCTTATTTCAGCTTTTGGCACTGTCCACAAAGCAGAAAGTCTGAGACAGAGCACTCTTCCTCTGATTTTCCATGCTCCTCGTAAAAGGAGGGTTACAGGAATTGGAGCAAGACGTCCTCCAACTCACCATTATTTTGACACTATGTCAGAATAACTACTTGTAGTATAGACACAGACTGTTATTTTGGAATAACGTCAATTATTCCGAAATAGCACTGCTGTGTAGACATAGCCTTACTGAGCCAGATTCTGATCTCGGACACACTATTAATTCCAATAATTTGAGTACAGGATAAAGACTGAACAGCAGCAAAACTGCCTCATGTAAATTGTAACTGGTTTATTTCTTTGAAATCTCTACTGCAGTTGGATAGGGTAGCAGATGCCAATGAGTCCTAAATTAGTTCTGTATAAGAGAGAATGCACAGTATCACATTTGTATATGTAACAAAGAGAACCTGAGTTACAATTAAGCACCGTGAGTTTACCTTGCATAATTTAATGATTGTACAGTCTCTTTTCACTGTCCTAGTCTTTGGAAATGAAAGTAGCTATTTTTAAATGAGCAGCTAGGAAAGTTCCTGAAGGAACTGTCCACAGTGCCCGGACTAAAATCAGATCCTTTAGCTTTAATCTGGATGGCAAAGGTGCAGAGGCACATACCATAGTGCTGTCACCTACTCTTGCCTGTCTGCTCCATTCTCAGTGCAGAGCAAGATGTTCATATTTGCAAAACTAAGTCTTATGCATGCCTTACAGCAGAGGTGGGCAACCTAGGCCAGCGAATGGGTCACATCAGTGACCCTGCTTCGTCTCAGTGGGCTGCAAGATTGTCGTAACCAAGACAGTCTCTTGGGATAGGTAGTTTTGTTTCTGGGTCCTAGGCAGGCTCCTGGCTCGCGGCGTCCTCCCGCTCCTCCTCCTCGGTGTCCAGGACCGGTCCCTCTGTCCCGGGGTCGATGATCACCCGGGGGGCATGGACAGCGTGAGCCCCCAGGATGCGGTCCAGGGCGTGAAAGTGGGGGCAGGCCTCCGGGTCGGCCCCTGGCAGGCAGGCCCGGGAGTAGGACTGCCGCAGGTCCTTTATTTTGCAGCG